CAATGGGCTCAGCGGGGGGGCTGCAGGGGCTGCCCACCGAGGCCCTACTCACCCTCGCCGTGGGGCTGTGCCCCCCACGCCTGAGCCCCACGCCCGCAGCCAGGCTGGGTGGAGCAGGCTGCAGCAGTTTATCACCTGCAAAACAAGTCTGGGCTCCGCACCTTCTAATTTGGGATCCTTCCTAATTGCAGGCACCGGCCCATCAGGAGAAACGGGAGGGGGACAGAACCACAGGAGAGGCGGCATCTGCCCAGCCTGGCTCTGGTGTCCCCCCTGACGCCATGCGCGCGGGCGGGCAGGCAGGAGCCCCTCACCCTGGATCCGCAGCCCCTCGCCCAGAGCCCGCTCCTCCCGCTGCGGCCAGAGCAAGGCACAGGCTGCAGCCGCCACGGGGACAATTCCTCCGGCTTCACCCCGGCCCCTCACACCCGCCACCAGGGACATCGCATCCCTCAGTTTCCCCGCCAGCGTTTTGGCACGGAGAGAAGGTACCAGCCCTGCGGCAGATGCATTTCCAGATGGCCGGGGAGCCCCGAGCCCACCCGGAGCAGCTAAGCTGAAGCATTTCCCTGCACACACGTCCCTGAGCTCTGCCGAACATCTGGGGCGTGCGGGGCTCCGTGTGTGCCTTCCCTGCACAGCCAAGCTTTGATGTACCTCGCCGTTTGGGCCAGCGCTACCCAGAACGGCGATAAAAGCGCAGGAAGGGCAGATGTTCTCCATGAACAGGGCTGAGATGGAGCCCGGTGCCACTTTTATGCCACGCTCCAAGAAAACAGCTGTTAAACCTCTTTTTTGTTTTTTTTTTTTTTAGCTTTTTCCCCAACATCAGCAGCTCTGCAGCTCACACACAAGGGGAGTTTGCCAAGGAGTGCTCTGGCTTTCTCATTCCAGGACTTCAAAGATGCTGGTAACGTTCCCAAAGGCTGGAGCAAGCAAATACTGTAACTGGTATTTAAAGCGAGCAAACAGGATGGCCAGGTAATTGCAGGCTGCCAGCTCCGTGTCGGCCACAGCCAGAATAGAGGGGAGTCTGTCCCGAGGCCACACCAGTGGAGGGTGGCTGGATGCAGCCAGTGGCGGGAGCTCTGGAAGAGGTGGCATCAATTTATCTGTGAGGGCTGGTGGATGGGGACACCGATATAATTCACTCAGCCTTTTCCACAGCATCTGCCCTGGTGCAACAGGACATTTTGATTTAAAAAAAATTAAAAAAAAAAAATTAAAAAAAAGTAGGCTGGCATATGAAACAAATCAAGAGCTGGCAGGCGGCTGAGGCTCCAGCTGCAGCGATAAACAAGGCAGCCACACGCGGGCCATGGGGCTGGAGCCCTCCGGGGCACCCCTCGCCCTTCGCCGCCTCTCCGAGGAAAACCGAGCAATTTCCGAAAGCATAGAGGAAACACTGACGGGAACGGCACATACCGGAGGGAGCACGTCACGGCTTTACTTGGCACCCGAGACACACGCGAAGGTTTCAAGGGAGCCACGTGTGGAAGCGTGGTCCAGGAGACGGTGCAGCAGCGGCTTTCAGGGGGCTGGGGGTTGCTGGGGAGGGAGGGGGGAGGCTGGGAAGCACCAGCAGCCCTGGGGAGACCCCAGCAGCAGGAGAAAACACAGCCCCTTGCACAGGGACAGGACCTCCTGCACCCCCAGCACTGGGTCACCACCCGCTTCCACCATTGAAGGATGCTGGAAAGGGTGGGGGAAGAGCTGACTCCTGGTGAACCCCAGAGACCCCCCAGCCCCCCAGCACGGTCCCCAACACTGCCCTGATGATCACTGCTGGCGCCATAGGTAGGTCTGGATGGAGTTGGCCGGAGCCATGGTCTCGATGAAACCCACGGCCGGGTCCCAGATCCCGAACGGCACGTCCCAGCCAAACCTGGGAGGGCCGGGCGGGTCGGCCCAGCCGGGGCTGAGCATCCCCCTGCGAGCCCCCAGCCGGGCTGCCCTGCTGACCTGTTGAGGACCACCAGGACGAGGGCCCCGTCGGGGCGCAGGACAGCCACGTGCTCCAGCTGACAGATGAGGCAGCTGCTGTGCAGCCCCACACGCTGCGAACCCTCGGGGATGAACTTGCTGTGGGGAGAGGAGCAGGAGAGAGATTGTGCCCTTGGTCTAGGGCTGGTGGCAGCACCTCAGCCCCCCCTGGCCCTGGCCCACCTGAAGTGCCCCAGGTGGTAGAACATGGGCTGCTTGTAGAAGACGTCCTTGCTGCTGTCCACGATAATGGGGCTGTCCACGTAGTTCTTGACCCAGTTGGGCCCCCCCTCCAGGTCCAGGGCCAGGTTCCAGTCGGTCCAGCCGGCCACAAAGTTGTTCAGGACCTGGGCAGGCGGGGAAGGTGCTGAGCGGGGCTGAGCTGGGCCCCCAGCCCCGGGCAGGCAGAGCCAAGGGCCGTACCGTCAGGATGCTGTGGCTGTAGCGATCGCCTCGCTCCCAGCATCCCAGGGACACGGAGAACCGGAGGGTGAGGAAGCCGCTGCAAGCCTCCGTGTAGAGGAGAAAATGGTTGGGGAAGAGCTTGTGGGTGGCCCCCAGGCTGCTTCCAGCCGGGACGATGCCGTCCAGGTACCAGTGAATCCCCACGCCGGCGACATAGCGGGCAGCGGTGGCATTGCCCAGGATCTGGGGGGAGCAGAGGAGACACCTCGCACCACGGCCACTCTGAGCCCCGTGGGGTCGGACATACAGACCACACGTGCCAGCGGGGTCTCCCAGGGCCACCTGCCTCCCCTCTTGTCCCCTTCTCTGGGCACCACAGCCTTCCACACCTACAGCCCCCTCCGTTCAGCACCTGCACCCCAAGTAGCAAGCCACGAGTAGCACCCCGACATGGCTCTGGCACCCCGTTGGGTACGGAGTAACGAGTGCGTGGGGGCAGCCGTGCCCCTCGGTGGGCTCCTTCGCCCTCGCATCACTCCTGCTCCTGCCTTGCCCTCCTCCACATCCCCCTCCCCGGACGGTTTTGCACCACAGCCCTGCCTGATCCCCGGGCACTGCTGGTTCGAGGTGAGGGAGGGCCGTGCTGTGCCCTTCCCTGCAGCTCCAGCGCTGCTCGAGGCAGGGGCAGGAGCACGTTTTGTTTTCTTTCCTCTCGGTTTAAGGCAATTCCCACAAACAGCTCTTCAGCATCGCGAGGGGTGAGCCGAATCGGCCGAAACTCTGCCTGGAGAAGGTGCTGGTGTGCCAGCAGCGCCTCTGCGTGCTGCACTGTGAGAATCTGGGACGTGGATGCCACCTCCCGTCCCTGCTTCAGCCAGGCACACGAGGAGGTGGTTGCCACCGAATTAGCCGGCTCCGGCTCCCTCTCTGGCAGACTCGGTTTGCCTCCTGCTCTCTCTAGGGCTGGGGGTGGCTGCTGGCTTAATTGTCAGCTAAAACCCGAGACTTGGGTGGGAAACGGAGCAGACGGAGAGGAAGGAGCCAGGCAGGGAGGTAGGCTTTGCTCTTCACCACTTCAGCCCAGCGCGGGAGGTGGATGCGCTGGTCGTCCAGGATGATGAGTCGGGTGCGGTGGGGGCTGCGGGCCAGCGCGGGGCCCAGGTCGTGGATCACAAAGTCCCGCTGGCGCGCGGCGGTGAAGGCGATGGTGGGGAACTCGGAGGGCATGAGGAGCGCTGCGAGGGGCTCGTTCTGCACCGTCACCGCCCAGAAGGTCACGTTGTGTTTGGCGTATTCGTCCAGGAACCTGGCACAGGGAAGGGGGGGAGCGTCAGCCGTGCCTGCCCACCCTCTGCCCACCCCAACCCGCTCCCCAGCCCTCTGTGGTCCTTGAGCATCCCGGCCCCAGGGGATGGTACTTGACGAAGTAGTTGGCCCAGGTCTTGTGGTACTTGTCCCCTGCCTGTCCCTTCAGGGTGCCCTTCCCGCAGACATCCCCGTTACTCTTCATCCAGGCTGGGGAGGTCCAGGGGCTGGCGTACAGCGACAGCGGCCGCCTGCTCATGGCTGAGGCTCGATGCAGGAGGGGGATCTGCAGGAGGGGGCAGAAGGGCCAGCTCAGCTCCAGCTGCAGCCCCCCAAAACCACACAGCCCCGTGAGGGAGGAAGGGGAGCACTCAAGGGACCTCTGCAGGGAACGGCAGCCTGAGAGCACCACCCCATGGCACAGTGCCCCGGCTCTGCACCCTGCCAGTGCCAGCTGGGATGCGCCAGGACGTGCCCCGGAGGAGGTGCTAGCTCCCACGGGCTATCCCCATGCAGCCCGCTGCCGTGCGTGGGGCTCAGCAGCGCCTGGTCACAGGGGTCCCAGCACGAGCAGGAGTTCTGGCGGGAGAGGGAACAAGGTGCCAACGGCAGTGGCTTCAGCCTCCCACCTTCATCTTCACGTCCTCCTCTGCCAGCCTGAAGTGCTTCAGCTCGTAGTCATGAGGGACGTCGTCGTAGCTGTAGGGGCGCACGGAGAAGTCGCTGCAAGCCATGGGGAGGCGGATGAGATTGTACTCCAGCCCTGCAGAGTGGGAAAGGCATCAGGCGGCACCAGAGCAGGTGCCCAGGCGACGGGGGTTTCTACAGCGGGGATGGGCACAGCCACCTCCAGGGACCCCACAAACCGCCCCACGCTGTCGGCGTCCGCGTGGCTCACCGCTCTCAGAGAAGTAGGAGCGCAACAGGTTGTCCTGGGCCGGCTG